AGTGTCTGCTTCCGCCACTGCCATGCTTCATTCTGATTAGCTGCTTCGGGCTAGCAAGAAGTTGTTTGACCTTTTGATTGGAACTGGACCACAAAACCTCTGCATGACCTGAATCTCTCACACTCACTTGTTGCATTATGTTTTCATTTTGAAAGTTGTTTAATCCTTGTATTTTCTCAAAATTCAAGATTCACTTGATTGCCTGAACCTCAGTTATCACCATACTGTTTATTCTAAATCAAGTAAATTGTGATGTGCCTGGCCAGACTCCGCTTTGTGCAATTTAAAAGCTGGTAGTAGGTTTTGAAATCCTTTCCTACTTGTTCAACAAGGTCTGACTCGAAAGAGACCCATAAAGATAGACTCAAAGAGCAAAGCAAAATGATTTTTGACAAAAGGAACAAAGGAAAATTTTGAACACAGATGACCATATGAAGAAGAATGAGATAAAGAAGACTTATCTGAGGGAAGCCGCCAGCTCCAATGGTCATGACATGCATTTCAGACTGATCAGCCTAATCCATCCAATCAATCATATTTTCAGTTCATGTCCTGTCTTCATACTTCAAAATCAGGCTTTCACTGATTCAATTTCTCTGTAAAGTCATGAGCCTCATTCGACTTGTAGTGCCCTAAAGGGTTTTCACCAACAAGCCTCTCTCATTTGTTCATCTCTTAACTCACCATCGCCTTACGGTGCCCGTGAGGGTTTTCACCAATAAGACTCTCTCATTTTAAATTTTCTCTCTTGCGCCCATGAACAAAGTGTTACCCGTGATGTAAATCATACCTCTATCTCGCTTGATCTGACATCTTTAAAGATTGATAGGAAGGTCTTTCTTTGGACTGTAATATAGACTTTTGGACGAGGTTAGAAAGAAAGGGTGGCATGAAGGCTCAAACTAACTTAAATGGAAGGGGTCAAAATTACAACTTTTGGAATCAGATCTTTTCAAAACCAAAACTTCTGCCCCAGTTTCTTTGGGTCTGGGGAATTTTAATTTTAATTTTGATGGGACCGAACTGTGAGGCTACATACGTATCCTTAAAAGGAATCAGGTCGAACGTAGTTCAAAAGAAAGTTGTTTGTTTTTATTTCCCTTTTTCTTTTTTTCTTTTTTTTTTCTTTTTTTTCTTCTTCTTTTCCTTCTTTTCTTCCTTTTTTTCTTTTCTTTTTCCTTCTTTTTCGTTTTTCTTATTTTCACTCATTCATCATCATTTTTTTTCATTCTCTACTTCTACTACTGATTCCAAAAGAGGGGTATGAAAGAAAATAAATAAAGCTCAAAAGGGGTAACAAAGGATGAAAGTGTTTGGGTAGCGGAACAAAATGCCTTCGTCATTTCAACTTTGAACATGCCAAGTACAAAATACAACTGAAGGTAAGCAAAGAAATCATACATAGTACCTCTTAACTGTATCAGAATTGATAGCTATATCTACACATTTGCCTTCTATGTCTGTTAAATACAAAGCACCATTGGGCAACACTCTTGTCACAACGAATGGCCCCTTCCAGTTTGGGGCGAACTTGCCTTTGGCTTCCGCCTGATGAGGAAGAATGCGCTTCAATACCATCTGGCCCACTTCGAATTTCCGGGGATGCACCTTTTATTGTATGCTCTTGCTATTCTCTTCTGATACAATTGACCATAACATACTGCAGCCAATCTTTTCTCATCAATCAAACTCAACTGCTCAAGCCAGGTTTTGACCCACTCATCATCATTAATTTCAGCTTCTACAACGATTCGAAGGGATGAAATCTCAACTTATGCAGGTATAACTGCCTCAGTTCCATATACCAGCGAATAAGGAGTTGCACCTACTGAAGTGCGAACAGTAGTGCGATAACCCAGTAAGGCAAAAGGCAACTTTTTATGCCATTGCCGAGAACCTTGAACCATCTTACGAAGTATCTTCTTTATGTTCTTGTTAGCAGCCTCAATAGCTCCATTTGCCTTGGGACGATACGGAGTGGAGTTCCGATGCATGATCTTGAATTGTTGGCATACCTCTTTCATCAAATGGCTATTGAGATTAGCAGCATTGTCTGTGATGATCACCTTGGGAATTCTGAACCGACAAATGATATTTGAATGAACAAAATCCACCACTGCCTTCTTGGTCACGGACTTGAAAGTTACAGCTTCAACCCACTTGGTAAAGTAATCAATGGCCACCAGAATAAACCTATACCCGTTTGACGCTGTCAGCTCAATTGGTCCAATAACATCCATGCCCCAAGCAAAAAAGGGCTAAGGTGCAGACATTGTGCGTAACTCAGATGGGGAAGAGTGAATCAAATCACTGTGTACCTGGCATTGATGACACTTGCGAACAAAACTGATGCAATCCCGTTCCATGGTGAGCCAATAATACCCTGCTCGAAGTATCTTCTTTGCCAAGACATACACGTTCATATGCGGCCCACAAACTCCAGAATGCACTTCGACCATGGTAGTTGAAGCTTCTTTAGCATCTATGCACCTCAACAGTCCTAAATCCGGAGTCCTCTTGCACAAGATTCCTCCACTCAAGAAAAATCCATTAGCCAAACGTCGAATGGTTCTCTTTTGGTCACCTATAGCATGTACTGGATATACCCCTGACCTGATGTATTCCTTGATATCGTGGAACCAAGGTTCATCATCGATTTTCTCTTCCACCACATTACAATAAGCATGTTGATCATGAACTTGGATATGCACGGGGTCGACATAAGCCTTGTCCGGATGGTGTAACATTGACGCCAGAGTAGCCAAGGCATCAACAATCTCATTATGAATCCTGGAAATATGTCTAAATTCAACTGACCTGAATCATTGACAAAGATCATGCAGGCACTGTCGGTACGGTATGAGCTTCAAATATCGAGTCTCTCATTCTTCTTGAATCTGGTGAACCAACAAATCTGAATCTCCCAGAACAAGTATTTCTTGGACTCCTATGTCTATAGTTAACCTCAAACCCAGAATGCATGCTTCGTACTCAGCCATGTTATTGGTGCAATAAAATCGAAGTTGGGCTGTTACAGGGTAGTGTTGCCCTGTTTCAGAGATAAGTACATCCCCTATTCCGACCCCTTTCATGTTAGCAGCTTCATCAAAGAAGAGTTTCCAACCTGGCTTTTCATCATAGTCAACCTCGTCAACACACATGACCTCTTCATCAGGGAAATAAGTCTCCAGTGGCTCATACTCATCATCCACCGGATTCTCAGCCAAGTGGTCGGCCAAGGCTTGGGCTTTCATCGCAGTCCGAGTCACATAGATGATGTCAAACTCTGTAAGTAAAATCTGCCACTTTGCAAGTCTTCCCGTGGGTATAGGCTTCTGAAAGATATACTTTACAGGATCCATGCGAGAAATGAGGTAAGTAGTGTAGGATGACAGATAATGCTTCAACTTTTGCGCTACCCAAGTCAGGGCGCAACATGTCCTCTCAAGCAGAGTGTACTTAACCTCATAGGGAGTGAACTTCTTATTGAGATAATAGATTGCTTGCTCCTTCTTTCCTGTGACGTCATGTTGACCCAATACACAACCAAAAGAATTATCCAAGACTGTCAAATAGAGAATTAAAGGTCTTCCAGGCTCTGGTGGGACCAGCACAGGTGGATTCGACAGGTACCTCTTGATCTTATCAAATGCTTCTCGACACTCGTCAGTCCACTTGACTACAGCATTCTTATTCAGCAGCTTAAAGATGGGCTCATAGGTTGTCGTGAGTTGAGCAATAAACTTGTTGATGTAATTTAACCTTCCAAGTAGGCTCATCACCTCTGCTTTGTTCTTTAGCGGCGGTAACTCTTGAATGGCTTTGATCTTCGACGGATCCAACTCAATACCATATCTACTGACCACGAATCCCAGCAGTTTCCCAGAGGGGACACCAAATGCACATTTTGCTGGATTGAGCTTGAGGTTGTACCTGCGGAGCCTTTGGAAAAACTTCCTCAAGTCCCTGACATGGTCAGACTGCTTCTTTGACTTTATAATCACATCATCTACATAAATCTCAATCTCCTTGTGTATCATGTCTTGAAATATGGTGGTCATCGCCCTTATATATGTTGCCCCAGCATTTTTTAGACCAAATGGCATTACCCGGTAGCAATATGTCCCCCATGGCATGATGAACGTTGTCTTTTCTATATCTTCCTCATCCATCAAGATCTGGTGATATCCCGCGTAACAATCTACAAAAGACCCAATCTCATGTGAATGTTCGGCAACGGAAAAACATCATTTGGGCTTGCTTTGTTAAGATCATGGTAATCAACACATACCCTGGTCTTACCATCTTTCTTTGGTACTGGCACAACATTGGCTAACCAAATGGGATATTGAGTGACCCGAATGACCTTTGCAGTAAGCTGCTTTGTGATTTCTTCTTTGATCTTCACACTCATATCAGTTTTGAACTTTCGCAACTTTTGCTTAATAGTAGGGAATGCTGGATCTGTTGGCAATTTATGAACTACTAGATCAGTGCTCAGGCCCGACATATCGTCATATGACCATGCAAAGACATCTTTGTACTCAAACAATGTTTTGATTATTTCATCCTTAACTTGCGGTTCTAAATGCACACTTATCTTGGTTTCTCTAACATCATCCTAGTCCCCTAAATTGATTGCTTCAGTTTCACTCAAATTAGGCTTTGGTTTTTCTTCAAATTGTTTTAGCTCTTTACTGATTTCCTCAAATGTTGCTTCTTCATCATATTCTATTTCATCATCATATTCTACTTCTTGGATTGTTATTTCAGGATTAGATTGGCTTTTAAGATTCGGCTGAAAATTCTTCATGCATGTCATATCACTGCAACCAGCATAAAAGGAACTGTACAAAAGAAAAAAGAACAAAATAAAACACTATTAAGAATAACGGAAAACTGGAAATTGCATTTCATTGAAAAATAGAAAGATAGAAGGGTTTGAACATTAAAACAAGCAAAAACTAAAAATCTGGATTACAACCCTAGAATAACCCAGATAACGGAAAGGAAAACAAAACAAACTACCAAAACTCCTTCCTGGTGGGGAGAGGAGTAGCTTCCCAATTGCTAAACTTCACGTTTGGGCCAACGAGCTGCACATCTGCTTTACTAGAGCCTTCACCAACTTCTAGCATATTGACCTCTTCGAACAGACTTTGGAACCTCTTGATCAGCTCTTCATCAACATCGACCACAGGTTTTGGGGTTAAGGAGGTTGGAGGTTTTTCGTCCCCTAGCTTGACAAAAGACTTAGAGATGTGTGGGACGGGCTTGGGGAGCAACCATACCTTCTGTTTCAGATTTTTAACCCTTTTCACATCCTTCTCTGTGGGCATGAATCCCAAACTAAACATACCAGGATTCCCACTAGGACGCACTGGATGCACAATACCCTGCAGGGATGAGCCCAAACCCTTGTCTGGCACAAAACCATTCTTCAACATTTCATTCGCAACCATGACGGACGTGGAGGATAGCTTAGGACCCGGAATGCATTTTCCTTCAGGAATTTTCTCAACAGACACTGTTTCAAAAGTCCGATAGACCCAAGGTCCCTTATCATCTTCAACTTCAATGAACGGAACAATTGTATCATTACAAGCTGACAAGTCCTCATCACCGTGCACAACTATTTCCTGCCTGTCCCATTCAAACTTCACCATTTGGTGCAGAGAAGATGGGACTGCCTTAGCAGCATGTATCCAGGGCCTGCCCAATAACAGATTGTAGGAGACAGCCACATCTAACACTTGGAATTCCATGGTAAACTCAAGAGACCCTATCGACAATTCAAGCATTATATCTCCAACAGAATCTTTACCTCCCCCATCAAAGCCTCGAACACACACATTGTTCAAGTGGATTCTTTCGGTGCCAATCTTCAGTTTTTGCAGAGTAGACAGGGGACAAATATTCGCACTAGAGCCATTATCAACCAAAACCCTTGAGACAACAGAATCTTTACACTTCACTGTGAGATAAAGAGCTCGGTTGTGTTCTGTACCCTCCGTAGAAAGTTCATCGTCCGAGAAAGTGATCCTATTGGCTTCGAAGATCTTGCCAGCTATCTTTTCCAAATGGTTCACTGTGATCTTATCAGGAACATGTGCCTCATTTAAAATTTTTATCAAGACCTTGCGATGTTCATCTGAATGCATCAACAAAGACAAAAGAGAAATCTGAGCTGGTGTTTTCCTTAATTGCTCCACAATGGAATAATCCTGCACTTTCATCTTTTTCAGGAACTCCTCAACCTCTTCCTCGGTGACCAATTTCTTTACTAGCATTGGGATATCCTTGAATGGCTTGGCTTACCTTAATTCTTCTAGGGTGAAACATCTCCCAGAACGAGTTAATCCTCCAGTTTCATTAACTTCTTCCTCTATTTCTTTTCCTTTGTATGTCACTATCACTTGTTTATAATTACACGGAACAACCTTGGCATCCACCACTGGCAACTAGGTTACTGGTTTAATGATGATAGGGGTAGTAGGAGCCCCCTTCACAACTATGACAGGCTTACTTGGAATCCTTGGTACTACCACTTTTGAACTTTCTGGACTTGCCCTGATATCTTTCGACAACCCTTTCACGACCAGCACTGGTGGTTTCGAATTGAGTGAGTTCAACTTTTCTATTACCTCTTCCACTGTTAAGGGCGTTGCTTTGGTAGAGTCTGGATCTTTAACCAAATTGCTTTCACTGGCCTGAATTATCATGACAAACTTAGAAGACTTCTCGGGCTCCCCGTCCTTGTGAACTATTTCAATCATATGTGCTCTTCACGGGCTGACAAAGGGTTTTGGTTTATGTTCGGCGTGTCTGGGCTTTGGACTATAATTTGGTTTGTATCAATGAGTTCCTGGATTGCCCTTTTCAAATGCCAGCACTTCTTTATGTCATGCCCTGAAGCATTAGAACAATAGGCGCACCTCAGGGAATAATCGAGGTTCATTGGATGAGGATTTGGTATCTTTGACTCAATCGGCCTTAAGACGTCCAACCACCTTAACCTTTGAAACAAACTAGCATAGAATTCTCCAAGCGGGGTAAAAGTTTGTTTTCGCTGCTGTCTCTCTCTTCTATACTCTGGCCTTGATCGAAAATTTGAACCACTAGGGTTTTGGTAAGGTTGTGGAGGTGGATAGGCATTTTGTGGAGCTGGGTATGTATTCTGTAGGACTGGGGCACGCCATTGTGGGTAAGGAGGGGGTTGAGCATATGCCTGTACATGGTGAACAAGGTATTGGGATGGCCTGGTTGAGTATTGGGGGTTTTGCGGGGAAAAGTAATGTTGGGGTAGATTATATGGAGCTTGGGCGTAGGTTTGAGGTCGGGGTCGAGGATGGGTGTACTGATGAGGTGAATCCCTTTGGCCATGCCATGATCCGGAGACAACCATAGCGACATCTTCCTTCCTTCTTCTTGCCTAGCAAACTTCCGGTACCACTCTGGATTGCCTGGGTGGATGCTTTTATAGCAGAATAGCTCATGATCTTACTCGACTTGAGCCCCTCTTCCACCATTTCTCCCATCTTCACCACATCATTGAAAGACTTACCAATGGCTGAGATCAAGTGGTCATAGTAAGTAGGCTCCAGGGCTTGAAGAAAGTATTTAACCATCTCGTCTTCTTCCATCGGAGGATTGACTCGTGCAGCTTGCTCCCTCCATCGGAATCCATATTCTCTAAAGCTTTCACTGAGTTTCTTTTCCACCTTGGTCAAAGATAGGCGGTCTGGAACAATGTCTATATTGTACTGAAAGTGACGGGCGAAGACCTGAGCCATATCGTCCCATGTGTACCACCTGCTAGCGTCCTGGCTGGTGTACCATTCCAAAGCTACCCCATTCAGACTTTGGCTAAAGTATGCCATTAGTAATTCGTCTTTTCCCCCGGAGCCTCTCATTTTACTGCAATAACCTCTCAGATGAGCTACAGGATCCCCATGGCCATCATACAAGTCAAACTTGGGCATCTTGAACCCAACAGGCAGTTGGACATCAGGGAACAAACACAAATTCTTATAGGCCACACTCACCTGGTTTCCCAATCCTTGCATATTTCTCAATGATTGCTCCAGACTCTGTACCTTCCTAAACATCTCTTCTTGCTCTGCGTTCTTGGGTGGTTTGTCAGTTTCAACATGAGGCTCGAATTGGGGAGTGTAAGAGTAAGTATTTGGGACCTTAAAGGTGGGCTCCGGTGCATAGTAGTGGGCATCCGTAGCGGGGAATGCGGGCTCACTAAAGGATCAGTAGAGGGTAGCTTGTAGAGGGGGTACAAAAATAGGAGCAGATGTCGGAGCAGGGTACGAGGTTGTTTTGGCTGGCGGAGCATGAACAGTTTGGGCTGAAGTGTCGGGGTAGTTGTGGTAAGGGGTAAAGCCAGGTGCGTGTTGTGGGGAAAGATCAATGGTATTGGGCATCTGGGATTGAGAGAGTGGTGGAATGGAAGCAGGGTTTTCTATGTAGTTGGTTGGGAACGAGGGTTGAGGGTGTCCCTTAATCCAGGCCTGATACATTTTCGCCATCTGGTGCTTCAACCTCCGGACCTCCTTTTGCAATTCCGATTCCGTCTCAACAATCTCCCTTACAACTCCAGTATCTGTTTCCTTGCTAGGCATGACTGTTTGACGCTTTGATCGGTGTTGTATGGATGACTTGCCAGGATGCCAACAAACTAACCACCTTCCTGAAACTGAATAAAGATAACAGAGGACAACAACATAAAACCACCATATTAGCGTTAGGGCATTTATCAAATAATAATATCACATTACGTGAAATGCACCTAGCAATGATTAACGGTTCTAAAATGGCTTTGAGGGTCACAGGGTCATATGGCATCATCCCGATTTGCTCATTTCTATCCTTCTTTCTCTTTCTTTTCCAGCACCTCTTATCCCTTTTTCTCTTTTCTCTCTTTCTCTCTCTTTTTTTTTGAACCAAAAATAATTTGATCGAACCCGCTGTAGGTTGCCTACGTATCATGTCTCTCATGAATCAGACCAAGAGTAGTTCTGGAAAAGTGAAGGAAAATAAACTAAAAACAAAAGCTTTTTGGGATTTTTCGTTTAAAACTTTTCGATATTAAAATACAAAGAGAAGTACGATAATGGAAGACATGACAGACTCGACTACACTATGACAGACTCTGCCACTACCTAAAGGACTCAGTACTCATAGACAAGACACGAAAGTAAAAGACAACATAAGAGAATCTCAAAATAGAATGACTTCTCAAGCTGCTCCTGAATGCGACGGTCCTGACTGGGATGGTCCTGGGCTGTCCGTCATGCTCAAACTCTGTAACATGCCTCGTAAAGAAACATCAATGCTGGGAATAAAGGCCCTGGCATGTGCCCCCGCATCCTAAAGGCCAACCCTAAACAAATACTGGCCATGCTTCTCCACGTTTGTTGCCAATCCCGCTAACTGAGACTTTATCAACTCAAGCTTATCCCAGGGATATTGGTCCATTGCCTCCTCAAAATCATCTGTCTGAAATGCCCGACCCCTAAGTTGTGCTGGCAATGGGGTGCTGACCCCTGGCGGGATGGACTGTAACCAAATCAAGTACTCCTGAGTACACTCGGGCCTGCCAACGTCCTCTACTAATGTATTTTTCTTCATCCTCTTTGCATTGTTCCAGTATGCACATACTTGATTTCGTCAGCCGCCTTTTTGCTAAAATTCATATTGTGCCTCCGAAGATTCAAAGTTGGAGGCTCCTCTTATCTTCTGCCCAACTGCCGCATTACCCTAACGGGAGTGTACGGCTTGACACACTTGAGTCCTATCAGCATCAGGAAAGGCTGCATGAGGCTACCAAGATATCATCCAAAGGTAAGCCCACAAAACATTCCCATTTGTCCTCAAACCAGGGAACTCAATCCAAGCTGTGACGCTTACTAGGTATGTAAACTTAGGAGATTTCATCCTACGCTCGATGCATACCACCCGATCCCTCAAGGCATGGGACAAAGTAAGGAAGCAGTGTGTAAATGCTCCATCATCCATAGTTGTAGCAAAAGGTTACTTCCCTCAAAATATCTGACACCTCCGCTAACCTCACTCAGGGCTCGGTACAACTCTGCTAAGATCATCGGCACAACGGTAACGGTTTTGCGTTGCTTCTCATGAAATAGTGCCATTACCACTGACTGCAGACGGGTGCTAATATGCCTCTCATCTAATGGAAAAACCAATAATCCCAACAAACCAAGGCTGAAAGCTTCGAGGCGACGTCTTTGCCACTTTGCCTTGGTTGTGCAGAACTCATCCCAAAAGACGTCAAAATTATCTTGTGGTCCAAATCTAGCAAACAAATAATCCAAGGATATCCAGGACTGCTCAAGTCATTTTAAATGCTTATTATCTTTCAGTCCCAGGTCGCTGAGGAATCTTGTCCTAGAGTGGTCTCGGGGAAGTATCATGTCCTTGCCTATATAGCTTAAGCGAGTGAGACGAGACATTTCCGCCAAGGTAGGGGTCATCTCACACTCTCCAAATCTGAAAACCAAATTTTGCGGATCCCAATAAGTCAGCATCGCCTCCACTAAGTCTGGGCGAGGTGTGATATCAAGAAGGTAAGTGAGGCTGCCCAATTTCTGCATTAACTCATGCTGCTCTAACAACGAAAATATTTTCCACCACTTGATTAACTTCCTAGGAATCTTTACTACCAGCAACATTTTGGTTCGAATCAGCGGGTCCATACCTGAATGAAGAAAATATGGTTAGCGACTCGGGACACTACGTGACAACACAACATTTCCTAGTGGACAAATGCAAGACACGGTTTGGCTAGATTTGGCAAAATGGTCTAAGTGGCTGAAACTAGCTATTAGTGCAAACTTGACAAAGTTGACCCCTAATGCATGAAAAATACTCCATTTAAAGCTTACATGACTCCAACATCCCAACTATCATGGCCTTAAAAATATTTTGCAAAAATGGTCGATATGGCCAAATGTGGCTAGGGACGCAAACACGACATGGATGGACCTTAAAGTGATATGACACTGAGTTGTAGACTCAAGATCCTAAGACATGGGTAATTGAACCACTTTTGCAAAAATAACCCTATTTTGCAAGAATGACCGATATGGCCAAAAGTGTCTATACACGCAAATTTAACAGGGTGTGGACCTTAGAATAGAGAAGACACTTTATTGTAGACTCAGGGCTCTAAAACAGGAGATAACAAACTACTTTGAGAAAATACTCCTATTTTTGCAAAAACGGCCAATGTAGCCAAATATGGCTATACATACAAGATTTGGCTACGACCCCGGAAGCCAAAAACCTAGGACCTATTAGGAAGACCAGACCCTATGTGGGTTGCCTACGTATCCCGCCCCGGAAGACGAGAATCAGGTTCGCGTAGTTCGGGAAGATGCAACTAATTTGAAAAAAAAAATACATTTTTGTATTTTTGAAAAATGTAAAAACTTTTGTTTTTTTTTTCATTTTTGAATTTTTGGAAAATTATGGAAAATGTAAAATCTTTTTGGATTTTCTTTTTCTCTCTTTTTTTTTTGTTTTTTTTTTGGAAAATAATGAAAAAGTGTAAAATCTTTTTGGTTTTTCTTTTTCTTTCTTTTTCTGAATTTTTGAAAAATAATGGGAAAGTGTAAAATCTTTTTTGGATTTTTCATTTGCAATTTATTTTTTGATTTTTGGAAAACTATGAAAGAAAAATGCAAGTGGGCCCTACTTGCTTCTTTTTTCACCATTCTTTCCAAGACATCGATCCGCCAAATGACTTTTTTACTCTCATAGATGCAACATTTAGCACATAGAATGATTGAATGTCTTTTTAGGTCACGGACCCATTTTGACAAAATTTGGATAGGCTTCCTACAAAGGGACACGGTGCCTGGGACCGAGCCTTGCTAGGTCTAAATGACATGATGCAAATAAATATGACCTAAAGGCTGACCTAAGTTTGGGGTTAACTAATAAGGCAATTCGGGGGAGCGTATGGTCAATGGTGGCTGCTCAAGCTTTCCACCCACTCCATACGTCTGACGCCCCCTCCTAAATTAAGGGTGACTCAACAAAGATTTTATGCACGCGACGCGTACTCCGAGACTTGATGCAGAAAGAAGACTCATGGTTATGCAAATGATGGCAGTTTATAAAACAGTAACACATTAAGAAAAGCGATAAACAAATAACCAACAAAACAAGGAAATAAGACAAACAAAGCAAATAAACAAAGCAAATAAAGAAAACAAACACCTCAATCGAATTTCCAAAAAGCCAACAAGATCAAGTACCAGCTCGAACTTCCAAGTGTCCCCAGTAGAGTCGTCAGAGATGTCACATCCTTTTCTTACAAACTTCACTAAACCCTCTCAAAAATATAAAAAGATTTGTAAAGCTCAAAAGGATTTTTAATTAAAAAGTGACAAAATTGTGTTCAAAAGGAAATAACTCAGAGTCGCCACCTGACATTGGTTTCGGTGTGCCAGGTCACCGTTTTTAAAATAATTTTCCTTTTAAAACACTTTGGACTCCAAACTAGGTCTGCACCAGAGATTTGGGTAAGGGGGTTCATTTGACTTGGGGAGAATGTGTTAGGCACTCCCTAAGTCCCGTGAAATTCACGGTTGCGTACTCAATCTAGTTGGCTTTTAAAATACTCGAATTGAGGTAATAACACACAAAAAGAAAATAAACAATCAAGAGAGGCTCGAGGTCGTCCCCACCTAAATGAAAGAAAATTAAAAGAAGAAAAATTAAAGTTCTAAATTATCCTACGCCACTTTTTCTACGATGTTCGCCACGGCCTCCAATTACAGAATACTACGGGGCATTCCCCGGAATAAAATATATACAAATCCTTCGGGGCATTCCCCGGATAAATTTAACTAAGGGAACGACCTCTCGCTTCGAAACCAACAAAAATCCTAAAGCTTGCCTACCCAAACGTGGTTGGCTAAACATGCTCCTAGCGATTATGAAAGAAAAGTAAAAGAAAATTAAGCTAAAATAGAGACATTCCATGATCATGTTCAATCTTCAGTTCGTTTGTGATTTCACCCCCCCCCCCCCCATGGCTCAACATCGTCATTCAAATAAGAGGTGTGTACACAAAGGAAAGAATGGCATCCAGAACAAAACAACAAACGAAACGAAACCGAAAGAAGAAGTGAAAACGATGGAACTAGCAAGGCAAATAAAAGGCAACTCGAAACATAAACCATGAAATTTCTGCAGGCAAGGCAATGGGAAAGTGCCCCACTGAAAACTTTTCTCTTAAGGTTATACTAACCCAAAGCAAGAGAATGACTGCAACCTAAAGAGAATTAACAAATTCAACTATAGAGTTTCCGATTCTAACTACACTAATGGAAAAATTCATCACTTGAATCTTAATATTACTGATGGGGATAATTTTGAAAGCACTAATTCATGGAAAACAGAAGCAAAGAATGAACATTTGTGATCAAAACTAGTTATATGAACAGAGTCATGTCTCCAAAACCATTCTCATATGTTTATTAAATTAAAGACTATTTGGCATATCTATGAAACAAAAGATGATACTCATGTAGAAAGAAGGAGATCAAATATGTGAGTACAAGATAAGTACGTTATATCCATTACAATTAAACCTCAAGCATGTCTTAACAAAGAAAGCATCATAAATTAAGTCCAACGAACATTAGTTGAGCAATACTATTTTAATAGAATTAACTACAGTTAAGTGAATCTAAGGTTCCTAATCTCATTCACAATGATGTAAAATTGTTCCTACGATTCGATATTATGGAGCAATTTATCATCTCATACAAAAATAACATTGAAAACAAGAGGAAAAGGGAGCAGAATGAACCTGTTTAGCAAATCCTCTCCCTCTATACGATAATCAATAAATACAAGGCTTCGATTCCGAAATTCGACCAAAAAAAACAGCAACAACGATCGACCAGGAATCACGAACCCGAACAGAAAAATTCGAACGACACCCGAAAATATCAAACCCGAACACAACCTCAACACCAAACGACTTCCACAATCCAAACGAACTCCATAGCTTTAAAATGAAAATCAAATCAAGAAACTGATTTTTCCTTATTTTTTTTTTGTATCTCTGGAAGCAAAAAATATATTTAAAAAAATGAAGATGGAAGAATTAGAAGATACCCTCAAGAACCTTAGAACCCTAATTTTTCTCTTTTTTCGATTTTCTGTCCAAATTTTTTGATTTTTTTCTCTCCACCCAAAATCTGAGAAATCATCCCAATATATAAGGGGTCTCTAACCTCCTATGCTTCTTCACCAAGAAATCAATTTTTTTCTCCAAATCAGAAAAAAAAAACTCTAAAATTCCAAAAAACCTTTCGTACAAAGGGATTTTAGGCAAATGGACGCCTAGGATCCAAAGATTTCGATCCTACAGCCCCCATTTAACTATCATCCATTCATGCATGACCCAGATTCTTCAATCAATTGCGAAAAGCGCGTGAGATGAGAGGAAAACGCGTAGAATCTGGTTATAATGATGAGGGGGGACCAGGGCTTACGTGGAACGCAGGAAAAATGACTTTTCCGACGGGTTTTGGGGTGTTGGTGACGGGCAGAAGGGTGTGAAAAGGGGAGGGGGCGTTTGGGCGTAGTCACATTAAGGTAGGGTTTGGGAAATATTAGGTTTTTATGTTATGGTGGGGAGGAATAGGGGCTGTTGGATCAAAGTGAATGGATGGCCAAGATTAGAGGGTAAAATGGGGCGGGTAACGGGTCAAACGGGCGGGTCAAGGGGTTTGATGGTTTAAGGAATTGGGTTGTTAGGTTTGGGCCTCTATTTGTTAAAATTGGGCCAAAAGAAAGCTGAAAAATCCAATTTAAATACCTACAAAAATGTAAAAACTTCTAATTGGTTTTGAGAAACTATTAATATTAAAATTAAAGCTAAGAATTAAAGTTAAAACTATTTTTGGGTATTTTCAAGGATTATATTAGAATAAAAATAGGTTGAAAGTAATATGTCTTTCTAAAAATACTTAATACTAAATTAAATAGAAAAATGAAACTATTTTTATTTATTTATTTATTTGTATTTTTCAATTTTTGTGCCTAAAAAGTAGAATTAAAATTAGTAATAAAGTGAAATCCTATAGAAATAAACTCAAATAAATATCTTAAAAATANCCTAAAAAGTAGAACTAAAATTAGTAATAAAGTGAAATCCTATAGAAATAAACTCAAATAAATATCCTAAAAATACTATGACTATTAAAGGTAATTCTAATGTGTGAGTCAAAAATTACATGTCTGCAATATAAATGAATAAACTTACAATTTATTAAAGAAAATTAATTGACGAAAGGTGACGAGCTGAATGACGAATGAAATAAGCGCATAAAATCAGGAAAAAGACGCGGCCAACGGTTTGCGAAGAGAGAAAGTGCCGGTAGTTTTATGCGGCCAACAGTTGGAAATAAACGATGTTGTTCCTTGTTTTGTCCAAGTTTTAAATGGTTTCTTTACTACACGTCGAAGATCCATTAGACTCGAGACGATTTTTAGTACTAGTACTAGTATTAAGACAAGAAAAAGCCAGAGCATCCACATCTACGTTTTGTGACTTTTACGTCCCGCTTTCACATCTCATTTCGCTTTTGTCTTCTGTATATGCATTTTTGTTTAATTTCCTTGGGACATCTAGATAGTGTTTGAATTTAGTTGAAATTTGAAGAAAAAAAACAAAAAATAATTTTTGAAGGTTGAACATGTATTTTACCTGAAAAGAATTTAAATTTTTGCGAGTAGAAAATTCAAAAACTACTCTAGAATTATTTTTATTTGGTCTATTTTAAGATATTATTATCATTTCTCTTGCTTCTTTTATTGTTACCGATCTCTTCTTTCGTTTCTTTTCTGAAATTATTATATCTTCTGTTGAGCCAAGGGTCTCCCAGAAACAACCTCTCTACCCTTCCGGAGTAGGGGTAAGGTCTGCGTACATCCTACCCTCCCCAGACTCTACTAATGAGATTTTACTGGGAATGTTATTATTGTTGTTGTACTCTAGAACTATTTTTGTGATTTGAAAATTTTATTTTCAAAATCTGCAAAATAATGACTAAAATTTATAAACAAACAGATATTTGAAACCAAAATTAAAAAAAATAAAAAATAATCCCAAATTCTTTGGCCAAATGGCGGAGCCTAATACGAACTATCGAATCTAATGGTAGTAGTTTAGTTTGGTCAAATTTTCAAAATCGATTTATTTTAGCAAGTGCTTTTCGAAAAGTAGCACTTAATTGTTTGACAACTCAATCTGAATACACCTTAACTTTTTAAAATAAGTTTTTATTTTACTTTTAAAAATACACTTTTAACTTTTCCGAAGTTTGACCAAACAGATTATACTAAGAAGTTATTAAAGAAAATAATTTGTCTCAATGATTTTACAAATTTCAATTATAGTGTATTTGAGAAAGAGTTGAAAAGCATAGTTTATTATGCAAACCGGGGCGTTAATCTTGGATAAAAATGAAAAAAGTAAACCTTGTGTATTTGTTTAATAAGAGTCTATGCTACACATAAGAACTCCACCGGACAGCGGTGGAGCCAAAAAAAATTTCAAGGGTTGTTAAAATATAAATAATTAGATACATTAAAAAATCAAGGGGAGACAACGTAGAGTAAATATACATAAAATAGAAAATTTTATCTAGTAATATAGTGTAATTTTCTAACGAAGGGGTGTCGACACCCTTGGTTCAATGTGGCTCGCTACTGCCACCAGGATCAAAAGTCTATGCTATTTATCTTACGTTAGAAATATTTAAGATAGGAAGAACTCCATAGACAAAACTCCTATTCTTGGAAGAACTCCACAAGATCAAAAGTCCATATTGCTGCTTATCCTACGTTAGAAAACTTGTATACATCGAGCTAACGAGCTTCTTTTATTTAACCAAGGATATTATAACAGAATATTTTTATTATCATATTAAGCACATGAATCAGATACAAATCTTGATTATTCTTAGCACTAGTAATTATCTAAACCTACAAAAGAACAATAAAAGTTGGTATTATATTTTTTAACAGCTGGTATAATTGGATAATCTAGTTTAAAAGAAAATGCTCAAAGCAAAAGAAAATAAAAGTAAAATCAACTCAGAAAAAGAAAGAAAATAAAAGCGAAATCTAGGCCGAAAGAGAAAGAAAATACAATAATTATGGGCGTTTGGACATAAGAATTGTAAAATTAAAAAAAAAAAATCAAGTGAAAATGGTATTTCAAAATGAGAGTTGACATAAATATAATTTTGGGTTGTTTTTAAATTTTTGTGAGTAATCTGAGTGAAAATTTTGAAAAACAGTTTTTGGAGTTTTTTAAAATTTCAAAATTATTTTTTTTGTAAAAATTAAAATTTTTATGGTCAAACACTAATTTTAAAAAAAAAGTAAAAAAAATTCGGAACAAAATAAAAAAAGTTTCATGGACAAACGGTAATCTGCCCAAAAAGAGAAAAAAATGTACAGTACTCTAAAAGTTAAATCTGCCGAAACATAGACAGAAAATAAAAGTGAAATCTTGGTTAATGAATTATATTTAATTGAATTACAATTTGTTAACCTTAATTAATTATGTGTAAGGAAATGGCAATACTCGAGAAAATAAAATGCGTGAGCATTGGTACTTATCTTATAAGACAGCAAGATTATCAGGTAAATAGTGAGAAGTACGGAGGCCTAGTGACCTTGTTTTCCACGCATGAAGTGAAAGCTGTTGAAAAGTCAAAACAATGAAAGTAAAGTTATTATTGCCCTTCTTTTTACTTTGTCGTTTCTCCTAATTGGTCCTATTGCTTTTTAACTTTGTCGTATGGGAATCTAAACTGTGGGGTCTACAACGGCTGTAGAAAAAGAGTGCGGAGTATCTTTTCTATCACCAACCAACTTGGGTTAGGTGTTAATAACAGTAAAATTGATTTGATAGCGCTCCACGAAAGAGTTTGATTCCTGAACAAAATTTTGTCGAAATTATAATAATCGGATTAATAATTTTTAAATGGTAATTTTTTTCTGATTAATATTTGCTTTACCGTATCGATACATGGTGTACAATTAGAAATGCGTCTTTGATTTTAAGTTGGATAAAATTTATTTGCTATTGGTAATTGTTATTTTGTGGCTTGAGTGTGATCTTCATGAGCGTTACATATAGCGTTGTTTGGAAAATTGCCGAAGAAACTTCTGCAGCAATGGCATGGAAGAAGCTGGAACATCTGTATTCTAAGAAATCGCTGATAAACCGCCTCTACCTGAAAAAGATGTTATGCAATCTCCGTATGAAAGAAGGTATACTTGTTAAAACTCACCTTGATGAGTTTAATTCAATTGTAATGGACCTGAAGAACGTGGATATCAAAATTGAGAGTGAGGATTATGTCTTGATTGTGTTATGTTCTTTACACCGTCTTATGATACTTTTGTCGATACACTGCTATATGTCAAAGACAACATTTCATTGGAAGATATTAGTAATGCACTAAAATCTAAAGAGTTGAAAAAGAACTTTCTAGACAACTGAATTGAGGGCGAGGGTCTTGTGAGTAGAGGAAGAACACGACAAAAGGACTTTAACAGAAAAAAGTTAACCGCCAGATCAAAGTCTAGACCAAGGAGGAAAAGTTGTTGTAAGTGTGGGGAGCAAGGTCACTACAAAAGAAATTATCCTAAGCCGAAGGAGAAAAGAGGGAGACAGAAAACAGATAATTCGACAAATATTATTGACACTAGCAATAATTTTGATGATAGTGACTATGTAGGGGAAGTCTATGCTGTGAGTTCTAGTCATGGGCAGAATTCTAGGGTTCATAATTCCGGTACTACTTTCCACATGTGTCTACATAAGAATTGGTTTGTAACTTACAAGCAAATGAGTGGGGTTGTCTACATGGGAGATGATAATACATTACCTGTAGAGGGGATTGGAAACATCAAATTGAGAATGTTCTATGGAATTATTATAAACATTGAGTGTTGACATGTTCCTTAGATAAAGAGAGATTTGATTTCTCTTTCGACTTTGGATGATTAAGGGTATAGGTTTCACTCCGAGAAAGGAATACTTAAAATGTATAAAGGTTCCATGGTATTCATGAAGAGTTAACTGTATTCTAAATTGTATCATCATAAGGTCAATGTAGTTGAAGAGGAAGTTGTTGTAGCTTCTGGGAAAAGTGATTTGAATCAGTCTCAGTTGTGGCACTAGCGACTTGGTCATATGAGTGATAAGAGATTATCTTTGTTGAGTACCAGAATTTGCTTAATTGGTACAAAAATCAAGTTTTGAATTTTTGTGAGCATTGTGTGTTTGGTAAACAGGCATGGGTAAAGTTCAGCAAGAAGGCCGAGCACAAGACCAGAGACAAGTTAGATTATATACATTCAGTCTTGTGGGGGCCAAACAGAGTTCACTCCAAGAGTGGTACTGTAACAACCCAGCCGGTCATTTTGAGAATATTAGCCCCCGATCCTTTATTTACTGCTTCCCCTATATCATTTTATGCTTATGTGACTCGTTGGGAGGATTTTGTTTGGTTTCGTAGTGGATTGGAATACTTAGTCCCTAAAATGGAACT